ACTACTAACTAACTAACTACTATACTATACACTACGTAATACTACAACTATACTATCTACTATATATAGTAGAGAACTAACTACTATGGTGTAGTATATATATATATATATATATATATATATATATATATATATATATAGAGAGAGAGAGAGAGAGAGAGAGCAGCTAGTACAATGGCATGAAACTTTTGTTGTTGTTGCCTAATTGGAGGGGTAGCATCAGTTAAAAGTGTTTTTATATCGGAGACATCAGTTAATGCTGGAAACCGGCGACGAATGCAATAAAATCTATACTACCTTATAATTCTCTTATTTCGTGTGTTTGTCCATTCTCATAGGAAAAGAATCCATCCGTTCCTATTCAATGAATTTCATCATCTCTCTTGCTATTCCATGAAAATAGGAATTCATATATAAAATCATTTTCTCTCACTCCGTCCCTCCCCTCCCCTCCCCTCCCTCCCATATCCATATATATATATATGGGATTGTATACAATGAGATCATTTACCTTTCATACAAGGAGGTTACAATTAGTTACAACCATCCAATGTGAAATCTGATAGCTTGGATGTGTCACAAAGTTCGAGAAAAATTCTTTTGAAGTTTGAGCTTGGTCAATGAAATAAATGTAGCCATCCAAATTCACATCTAATGGTCAAGATTAATTGTGACCACCTTGTACCAAAGGTAAACGGTCTCATTGTATACTTTTCCTATATATATATATATATCGAATGGTGGTTTATAGACAATCTCAAGCACACCTGTGCCATTTCAAATGAGTTGGGCAGCAGATAAAGCTATGGAAGTTGGAAGATTATTTAAATTGACTTCTATGTTTTGATTATACATCCACACTTAGATTTGCTAACAAGGTGGAGTAGCCATAATAAAGCATAGACATAGAATGATGACACTTTGATGTCTATCATTTTTGTCTCATGTTCCATGAGTGTTTTGAGTGGAAGCCGCCTTAACAACTATTTGCGATATTGAAAATATTCCCGTATCCTTTGTTGAGGGATTTCCACCATTACAGGAATGGAAGGGCAAGAGTCAAACCACACAGGAGTTCACATTATTGAATTAATAGTTTATCTGCTACAACCTTTTTGAAATAGATATATATCCAGAAATTTCATTGGTTGATTCATGAATCACAATCCTTATCTCAGGTGACTTATGCCCAATGTAACTATGGACGATTATTTTCCTTGTTTCTCTAAGAATGTCATGTATGACTAAATTTGAAAAGAATTAGAGGCCGTTCAAATTGATTACAAACCACATGAAGGAGAATGAATTTCCAATTGTTACAAGATGCACAAAAAGCTATCCTCAGCAAGTATCCAATTATAGGAGTCATATTACATAACCAACATGGATAACGCATGGATATTGCTCAACCACTATAGAGGCACCACGAACACCAATTGTCTTAATTTTGTTCTGTGCACCATCAATCACTTAAGGGTTTAGAAGAAAAGGTGAAATAGTAAGATCTTTCTCGTCACAAGTTTGCTTCGCTTCTTATCATTTTGGACCACCAGTTCATTTGCTTCAAAAGACTTGCTCTAACTCAAAAAATAAGTTCTTGTTTCATGTATCTTTGAATAAATACCTACCTACTTAACTCCAAAACGTCCACTTTACTAGTTTACAGAAAGCATTGAAAGAAGACTAGCATGCACTAGAAGCAAATAAAATCTAGGTTTCTCTAGCTTATACTTTAGAAGCAAAAGTTTGCAATTGGGGTCACGAAACTTAGGTTCGCAATTAATGTACGAGATATTCTCAATATTGAGAGATGAAATGAAAGGAGATATAGTTAATAATGATAGAATTTTTGTTGTTTAATCTGAATCCCCGACCTCAAATGGGTGGGAAGAATGCATTTAGTCACAGGCATCTTTAGGGAGATATTCACATGAAACCCCCTCTGTGTTCTCATTCTGGCACACGTCACACTTCTTAGGGAACTCTATGGACTCAAATAGGCAATAGTTTGAGCAGATGAATAATGTATTTGTGGTATCAAGATTCAAAAGGAGTTGTGGTGATCATACTCATTGGTGATCATATTCATTAAGGCAAAAGATTATCACAGGCACTATCAAGTCACCTTGCTTACAGTCTCCTACTTCAGGTTCCAAAAAAAACCAACCTTAGTGAAAAAAATGCTTGAAGGGGAATATATGAGATGACCTTAGGTGTTCAACACTATAAGAGGTCTCATTCTCCAGACATTTTGTGTCTTTGAGTAATTCATTGGTTGCTCTAAATCATGTGAATTCATACAAATCAAGAGAATCTAATTGCCAGCATACAAAGAAAGTACAATAATAAGAGTGTCCTGCCCTTTCTCCATCAAGGCCCAATTCCAGTCAACCGCCACCTTATGAGTTCCTTAATACGCAGATAGCCGCATTCACTACCTTTATAAATATTATTAGAGCACAATTTGCAAACTACACAGGAGGACCTTACCCTGAGCATGCAAATTTGAGGATGCTTTTACATGGAGCAAATTCCTTGGGAAGTCAAGTAGCTTACAAAATCAAAAGTGGCACACTGACAAGATTTTTTAATTTCAAAGGGAAAATAACCATAGTACTCACATTATAAGAATTGTGATAATGTTAAGGAGCTCCTTAACCACATTCCATAGAAAGAACAATTGACCTGGCAAGCACAAGCGGGTGATGAAGGCACCTTGTGCATTAAGCTGGTTGCACTGTTATGTAAGTATGTGTCTAGATCTGCTATGTAGGTATGTGAGAACAGAAATGTAAGTAGATTAACAAGGTACTGGTCTGAATTTATATCCGTGCATATTAATATATAACTAAATGTACATAAATCTGTTGTATGAAATTGTGAATATATTATGTAAATAGACATGAATGTGTCCATGTGCTCAACGGCTGAGTGTTAAGCATGCAAGTACTGGATGTTAAAAACATCCATGTCATAACCACAAAAAAGTAACCTTTAATGCACGTCTAATATGTATTACACATTTTTATATGCATATCTATGTAAAGCTACTTATGCACACACATGCAAGAGCTAAACCTAAAATACCCAGATAAATGTTAATATTATATTATTAAATGATTATTAAATAATGTAAGTATGTTTATGGTTGTTGCCAAAGACAATCAACGCCCTTGATCTTTTGAAGGGAAATCACAACCCTCCAAACAAAAAAAAAACAAAGAAAAAGGAAAACTGTGAATAATTCAGTAAATGCATTTATTTCTCTCCCAAGTATATGTATCCCTATAAATAAATTTCAACAAAACTATGTCCCCTAAGATTTATTTATAAGATTCCGCAATCTATATGAACTAAAATAAAGTTAACTTATCATTCTGCCATTATTTAATACTTGAATCTCTCTCTTGGCCCTGTATCATAGCTGCTGTAAACTACTCATACATGAAACGCGCATGTACAATGGTCCCATCAAGTGAAATGCGTATCGGCTGATTGTCATGAATGGGCACATAGATAAAATCTCTCTATTCAATAAGATGGGCTAACAAACCACAAACTAGAGGAATGTATCCACATATCCAAACGAATAGGGATGAGAACACAGGAGAAGACATTCTTGAGAAAGAGGAACAGTAAACAAACATCCAGCCCTGAACTCAATGATTTATTTAAAAAAGATACAAAATTATATAAATAAAACATCCACAGCACTGAAAAAAAGAAATTCAAAGAAAATGACAATCACTAAAACAGTAAAAACAGATGACAGGATATTTGCAGGGGAAGAGAGAAGGAACATAGAATTGATCCCTAAAAGGGTACAAACCCAACCAATGCAAATATCAAGCTGAAATTTCACCAGATAAAATAAAGCCCAACAACAATGACTTCATCTGTGACCAATCACAACATGCATGAAGAAACAAACCCAAATTCTCAAACTAAGAGAAACCAGAAAAGTCCCACTAATCCATCAGCAGATCATGCAATTTGGGGCCCAATCCATGCTAAAAAAAAAACAAAAGCATCGATAAATAGTAGATTATATTCGATAATGCACATCAAATGAAATAATGCATCAGAACAATAAAAATACCATTGTGACAAGGATCCTAGCAAGGTCTCTTTCTCTGTCGATTTTACCAACTTTCTCTGGCTGATTTGGGCCTCTCTCTCTTCAAAAGGGCATAATTTGTATGGAAAAAGCACAGAACATTTAGGCAAATTTACTTGAAGATCAGAAGATGGCTTTTTCTCTGTTTTCTTTTGTGGGGTGGGGGAGGAAATGATTGCTTAATGATGTGCAATTTAAGCCGCCAATGGTTATTTAAGGTTGACCAATTTAAGGTGCACCACATAAATTCATGAGAAGTGATTTCTGTATTGCAACGACACAAAATAGTTTTGTGGTATTTGTATGACTCAAAATTCTGACCCACTCTCTTATCTCAATAATCACTCCAAAAAAAGAAAATATTTGATTTAAATTCTAGATGTTGTCGAAATGAGACCCTCCAACAACGAATCTTTCTTTGGTGAATTTCAAGATCTTAATCTTATAAACTCAAAATCATTTCTTTCTTTTTTAACATGGTTCATCTAATGATAATAAAGCCATCCAAAAAATTTGGAAATAAAAAAAATTTGTTCTAAGGTTTAGATCTAAGCATCTCACCAAAATGAACGGCCTATGGTAATTGTACTAAAAAAAATACTTTATAGGTTGTCTTTTCAAATTTTTATTTTTTGTGATTGTTCATTAGAATGAAAAGAGTGTATATTTCAAATTTTAAATAAAACAAATGGCCATAGTATAATTTTGAAGGTTGTTGCATCATACTATTATACAACCATTGCATCACTTGTTTATACTCTAATGTGTATTTGTTTGCAGGTAAGAAGAAACAGGTCAAGGGAGGCGATTCCAAACTGGCTACAGGCTAGGGGGACATTCAACGTGATCTAAGAGGGCGCCCATGCGAGCTAGCCCGAGCGTGTCATAGACCCACGTGAGGCAAGTCCCGCCTCATGACCCAAATTCCACTCTCACCGATTGGTTTTCCTACCCATGTCTTCTTTACACAGTTCTTGAGAGAGCGGTCTCAGGTCCTGGGTCCATCTTAAAATCGAAGCCACGCCACCAGGTCATCCCAACCCGAAGGGTGAGATCGAGGCATCTAACCTGCTTGGGGACTATACTGGGGACACGCTACTCCATAGTCAGATCCTTATTATTTGGCTTACCTTTCTTCTACTTGATGTTCACTAACACACATGTCTCTGCGGTTGACCAACCTCTTCGTCCTAGTCGGGGATTTTATGATCCCTGAGTCCGCTTCGAGAACAAGTTCCACAAACCTCGTTTCCGACCTTTCTCTTGAGCATCGACCCTGTGTCACACTCCCAGGTCCTGACCTGGATTGGTGCTAGGAGGGACCTAAAAGTCCCTCATTCCCCATCTTCTAGCCTTGGTGGACCCTCCACCAATGCACCTTGCATGGGTGGCACACTAGCCACCGCACACCACATGCACCCTGCCACCAGCAAGTCGCTTGCCGGTCCCATTGCTCGGGCCAGTTGAAAGGCCGCCCCTTCCCCTACTGCAAAAGGCAGTCCGGCTGTCAGTGCTCCTGCGGGTTGCCGTAAGACTTTCTAACACATCGGGCCCCTGTAGCAAGAGGCTCGACACGTCGAGGAGGAGGCCCTAAGGCCACCACCTCCCATGCACGCACTAGGGCTTATGGTCTATCCACTCGAGCCACACCTCGGGGCAATCCTCAGGCCGCCTTGAGTCACTGTCCAGGTTCGGGTCTTCTTCGACCCGGCCCTGTATGCCTATTGCATACATATCGTACTACTCGGGGCAGTCCTTTGATTGTGCTTAGCCGAGTACACGAGAGACGACCCCCTCGTTGTCCCTCCCAGCACACGCCTGCTCATTCTGTGAGAGGTGGTCACAAGGCCATTCCCTCACATCGGCTTCCTAAGGTCCGACCTATTTCCCTAGCTCACCCGAGGTCACTTGGAACCCTTCTGCAAGTGGCACACATGCACCACCCCCACAAAAAACTCCAAGCTCCGACCGAAAGGTCATTGGCAGCTGTCTCCTCCCTAGTTCATCCCTTCTCCTCCAGACGAACCGCTCAAGACTTGGTAATTGAAGGCATTCCCTAAGAGTACCCTCTCCAGACCGGCCCTACCTTTAGAGCTCACAAAAGAGCTCGGGGCAAGGTTCCCTTGGGTGATGAGGTCTTCCATCCCCCGTCTCCCCCCAAGTCAAGATAGAAGTCTAAGCTGACTCCTGTTTTTGGACCACATCCCTTGCAGCACCTCATGGAGACCGCCTGGTCATGTGTGAAGCAAGACAACCTTTTACAATTACGGTCCCCGTCTTCGTTCTGGAAAGAAGTACACTAGAGCCTGACATCCAAATATGACCGAGGCATAAGAATACTGCCGAGAGAAAAAGCCAAGGCACTCGGGGCAACCGAGCCTGCTGATCCCCTGGCCGTGAATCGCTTTTACCCACTACAAGCCACAGCCGAGCCTAAGGTGGAAGAGCCGAAATTTTGCATGGAAGTCAATGTTGTAGAAGATGACCCAACCTTGTAGCCCCTGCGGTCCCAAGACTGTCATGAACCAGTCCTGACTCGATCAGCGTACAAAGCTCGAGCTCTGTTGAGGCATGTCAAACCCCTACTGACCGACTTGCCACACCCAATTCGACGGATATTGCAGGCCTCGATCGAACGAGAGATCAATCTCCCTGAAGAAATAGTCAACGTTATAGATCAAGAAGACTGTATGAATCGGTTTTAGAACATGATGCATAAAATGATGGAGAAGATAGAGCTAATGGAAAGTACCCTACTCCCTGGGAACTCATCTCAGCAGGAAGCCAATTCTCCTCATCCCACCGATCCAATCCCTAGGTAGCCACCTTCCTCGCATGACCATTCTTCCTCTTAGTAGGTCTCTCAGGTCGACATTGATGCCATGGTCAACCACATCTTGCGTGCTAGATACAGCTCTATATCGGAAGCCCTATCCATCTTTTATTGACCAGCTCCTGTTTCCCCCAAATTATCAAAAGGGGAGACTACCGATCTTCAACGGCACTAGTTCACCACACCAGCATATTGCCCACTTCTATTCGGCATGTCAAGAGACAACAGCTGATGGGAGGCTTGCTCTCCATCAGTTCGTTGAAAGTCTTGACAGGCCGACATTTAAGTGGTATGCCTGACTCCCTCCGAACTTAGTGCAGATCTGTGAAGAAATGGAGCACTTGTTCTATGAGCGCTTCTATGAAGTCGAAAGAGAAGTCCAAGCCATTGAGCTTCTCACATAGACCTAGAACCCAGATGAGCCGGTCGATCAGTTCATTGCAAGATGGAGAGATCGAGCTGCGCACCAAGCTATCCCATGCTTGAAATTGATGCAATCCAAACATGTGTGCGCAACATGCGACTGAAAATCTCCCTGCATGTCGAAGCATCAAACCTGACCTCTATATCAGATCTGATCTCCAAAGCAGTCCGGATAGAGAGTTTCCTTAAGCATCACGACAACTTCAAACCGCATCATCAAATGGAGAAAACAATCGAAGTTTTGGTAATCATCCCAATTCTGGGGGCAATCAACAAAAAGGAGTGATCAGTGTTGTTGTCACTATATGGGACCCCAATAAGGCCTCACCTCAAACTCTGGATTTCTCTAAGGGGGTGAACCCTGCAACTACTCAGGTGACACCTCAGGAAAGCCAAAAACACCAGTCCTACAATAAGGTGCCTCCACCTCGGAACCTCTACGGAAAAGACTACTGAGAAGAGAAGAAAAAGAAAGTCTATAGCTTTGATAGGGAGTGCGTCCCGACCTTACTCTGTATGTTGATTGAGCAACAAATGATCACCTTGCCGGAGATAAAAAGGCCAGAGGATGCTGACTTTATCACCCATAAGAATTATTGTGCCTATCATAAAATGTTGGGGCACCCTGGTCATGATTGCTTCACACTCAAAGATCACATCGAGGCTTTAATCCAGAAGAAGTGAATACAGCTCGATAGTCTCAAGAAGTCATTCGGGGCCACTGAAGCGTCTCACGTGGTGACAATTCAAGAAGAAGATAAGCAAGTGTACCATCTTGACGAGCTACCACCGGACATTCTTCAGGCTTTATTTTGTCTGATGCTTCAAGTAGGGATCATCACACCAATGTCGTAAAAATAGCCCATACACCTTGCTCATGGGATTAAAAACCTTTGGTGCTCCTATCACTAGATACGAGGTCATGATTAAGAGCGGTGCTTCGGTTTTCGAGCTATAATCAAAGAGACAGTCCAAGGAAGACATGTCGCTGGCGCTATGTCGAGACTGATGTTCAAATCACCAGGCTGCCAATACAAGAGGTCACCTAGAACATACCTCCTGTGAGAGAGCACCACCCGAGCCTTCTGATCCTGATGAGCCCTCCACTTCCCAACCTTGGTAGGTCTATCGAGGATGAAGCCGAATCAAATCCATGAAGAGGGAGGTTGTTCGCCAAGCAAGGCCAGCCCCTAGGCCACATGAACCTGGTCAACCTGCGCCCATTTTAGACAATGGTAGAAGGAGACGAGCACCAAGGGCCACTCGTCGAAAGAGGAAACTCCCTCAACCCCAGACTGAGATCGAATTCCTCAGGCCCCTTCCTCTGATGCCGACCCTGCGGGATTCCTCTCAGTTTCTTCCACTAACCAAAACCCGCACTTTAGTCAAGAGCCCATTCCAAAGTCTTCCTCTGCTCAGGTTCCCAACATGTCTAATAAGGGTGACGACATTAAAAGCACCCCTCAACGGTCCAAGCAAGGTGAAGACTTAAAAGATTCCCTGCACTCGTCCAATTCTGATGATGATGTTAAAAGCTACCAGGATTGGTCCAATCTGAGTGATGACATTAAAACCTCTCCCCCATCTTCTATCCCCGACTTTTTCAACCCTTCTTCTTCCTCTGCTAACACGTCTTTTACAGGTACAACTCTCGAATTCTCAGACTTCGAGGCTCTTGACAAAGAGCTGAAGAGTTGCAAGCAGGCGGCATCGAAAGCAACTGAAAAAGACGGTGGCCCATGCAGTGGGTTCCTGTTAGTCACTGATGCCTTGGCATCTAAAGCCAACGCAAATCCTCCTCCCACTATTGAGGAGCTCCTTGAGAGACACAAGAATCCCAAGGCCAAGAAAGCCCAAAGGCCACATGATCTCGACTTCAAACAACGGCTGAGAGAGTCAAGAGGGTAGAGCTTCCATTCTTATGAAGCATGCCATATGGTGTAGATCTCTGAAGCACTGACCAATGCTGACCCAATCAGTCTCAGGTCAGGCAAGAAGTTGCAGCCACTCAT